AACTTCTTTTTATCTCAAATTGACTGTTAACGCAATGAGTTTTTCCTATCAATCGATGATAGTAAGCTTAACACATTCGGAATCGGAAAATTTTTTCTGGTTCTAATACTCAATACCGGCGAAAAATAAAAACGTTGTGGAACTGTTTCCCGCAAGCTTGCAGCGTCAAATGTATGGATAAAAAGTACAAAATTTGCTTTGAAATATCAATGACCTGTGATTGCTTCAAATAGAAATATTTTTATAATTTCTATACTCGTTTTATAGGTAGATAATAGAATGTTTTATAGATAGTAAAAACGAATATGCAAGGGAATGTAGGTAACACGGCACACAAGATTTGCGTAAAGGCCTCAAGTTAGCAAGGTTCGTATACACTATGAAAAAGCAAGGCAAGGAAGTCATTTCATATAGTACGCATATTGTTCCAAAACATTAATTGCTGTGTCAATATATAAAAAACAAATATCTCAATATCGAGACACATCTCTTTGACTACGTTACTGCGTCCCATAATAGCGCTTACACAAAGTGCCCAATATTGCCGCATTTAGAAGCAGAAACTTCGGGCGGTGAATTGATCTCAGCTGCAGCCAGGATTAGAATTTCAAATGACCTGAATCAAGGAGCGATAGCGAATTTGTTAATAAGTTCCATCGATCGTCATTCTATTACCATTCTATTATTCTTCCTTCCATTCCAAAAAAATGGTTGCTATAGCGACTTCCCAGACAAAAACGTTATCCGAAAAAAAAGCGAATGAGAATGGCATTGAGATCTCTAAGAATGAAATTGTTCGAACTACTCGTTGTTTGAAAATTATTTCCCAACATGAAGCTTTTGAAGTTTGGAATTCGTAAACCTGGACTCGGGAAAGTTAATAGGGAGGGAGAAACAGAGAAAGATAGATAGATAGATGCATAGATAGATAGATAGATAGATAGAGAGAGAGAGAGAGAGAGAGAGAGAAGGAGAAAGAGGGAGAGCTAGAGTCAGACGCGATGGGACAGATATATATATATATAGAGAGAGAGAGAGATACGGATAGTGAGAGAGAAATATTGAAAGGTAGTGAGAGAGTGGTGGAGAGAGAGAGGCAGAGAGAATGGGATAGTGTGAGAGAAATATGCAAAGGGAATATGGGAGTGGGGCAGAGAGTGAGAGAGCAATAGAAAAATTATATATAGAGAAAGGGATGAGAAATAGTGGGAGATAGGGAGGAAGGGAAAAGAAAACTTTACGCATAGCCAAAGAAAACATCTATACTCCCTTCACCGAATTCATTCTCCAAGAGAAATGATCAATATTTAAGAAGAATAATTACTGATATTACTAATAGGAAAGCCAAGGGAAGCGAACTTTAGGCACTTTAAAGATTTTTGTTTTATGTTGTAAATAGAAATGCTGGACCCGATATTTTTGCTAATGTGACCACAATAAACACTTTCACATAATTTCGGTATCTAAAATTTGTTTTCATTTTGGGGCTATTTTAGGCAATTTAGTGTTAATACCTAATAGTGGCAATGAATTCTGCAAAGTCTATGAACATTCATGCGTAAACGTTAGATGAAAGTCTTCCCTAGAGTTGCTTTTAAGTCAACAATAAATTAACTTCAGCTGTTAATAATGGGAAAAAACGCTTGTAATAGTTTATTTAAGGCGAAAAAGAGATTAGATCTCTCTATTAACATTATGCCCAAGGCGTTGCTATAATTAATTACTTTGCCTTGATTTTTTTAAAACTGTCAAGCAGCTGGATTATGCCCTAAAAAGGAAGCGGCAATGGTTTGCTATCATTTTCTCCACCTTGCGAGGGAAGTAGTTCCTTCGTGTACACCAAATAAATATTTTTATTGCCACATTTTGTTAAATGAAATGTAAAATGATAATTTTTATTCAAAATAAATTAATAATGAATGTAAGTGACAGTTTCTACCGATTAATGGATGTGTTGCACAATTCAATTAAAAATATTTTGCAAGGTTTCGTTCTATGTGTGTCTGTTAAGACTGTTGATGAAAATGTTAAAGGAAAGTTCAAGTGCACTTATCAAAAAGCCAGATACGGCATCCCTTTCTATTTTTCGATAACAGAGTCGAAATTTAAAATCTATGTACAAGTACATCGGATGATTGGCTCTTCGTTTTATCATGCAATGAAATATCGTTAGCCAAAGTCTCGAATATATCTACTTTCCTGTTGTTTATTATACATACTTTAGACGTCATGTTGGATTTGTCATTTGTATTTAATAGCTAAGAAGAGAAATTCTTAACCCGGCAAGCCTGATTTTGTATCTTTCTTAGGCGAAAATTTTTACTTTGATTTCTCTCAATCTTAAGACGAAATACCTAAATTTTTACGCTGACGATGTCAAAACAGATAAGCACCTTTAGCATATAACTCAACTAATGAAATTAAAACAGAGGAATTCATAACCTCAAAGTTTGCGACAGCCAATAAGAATCAAGAAATAATAAAAACTCAGCGCGCTACTTGGTGTATTGGTCTTATCGTCAAAAGGCCCAATCCAATCATCTAAACAGAAAAATCAAATCTCAGAGCGGTTTGCCCATATTCTGTCGTAGCTATAGACATGGCTAAGCTACACGCTTAGGCCACTAAAGACTTTTAGTGGCTAAGCTACTAAGCCACATATCGACTAGGGTGCGTTCGCTTTCTATCTCTCTTTCTAGCCGTAACTGTGTTACACGCGTAGGAGACATCCTCTGAATGATCGATGGCATTAAAGTACGATCTTGTCATCGTTTATAGCAGAAGAGCTTTGTTGTGATTTACTTTAGGCTGTAATCAGATTCTTTCAGCAAACTTAGACAACAACCTTCTTACCTCTTTCTGACCATTGCCGTGTTACGCCGTGTCAGGAACATGCCTTGAGTGATTGATTGCTCTTACTTAGAAAAATATTAAAAGTTGTGTCATGTAGGAACGCAACATCTAGCTTATTAAGCTTCGAATTTTCTATTATTTTTTTAAAGTTTTTGAAAAATCTGCCTCTTTAAAGAAAAATTCAGACGAATTATTGAAGAGAAGCCTAACCTAACTTTTTTGACTATTTGTTAATCAAAACAAGTAAAAACACTATAGTGAAACATGGCCCATCATTAAATTCTCTGCACTACTGTGCAGTTACGTATAACGATTTTTGGAGGTAAAGCTTTATATGTGAAGTGAAAAAGTGATCTTATAAAAATTATTTTCAGTGGCGCTCGTCTTTGGGCCAGAACACTTGAATGAATGAAATTTCATCAAAATGTCTCACCACTTTCGACTTGTAGCTGGAAACGGACAGACGGACAGACAAGCTTTAATCAATTCAGCAAATAATACTGAATTGATCAGTATCCAGGGTGTTGTTTACATTTCCACAAATTTTGTCTAGCATCGGTTTGGGCGACAATTTTTTCCCATCACTGTCTATAGTATATAGTACGTGTCATGTAAAAATATCCTCAAAAATTTTGTATTGCTCCTGAATTTTATGTGTCCTAATTCCCGTAGACAAAACTGATCAATTTGCGCTTTGTACTCAAGTCACGTATGGCATAAGTTAAAAGTACAAAATTTACTTTAAATTTATATGCGTTAAAGGTAAAGATTGCTTGTTGTTTCTTATTTTTTGTTCATTGTTTCTTTTTCTTTTGTTTTTTTTTTTTGAATATTTTCGTTAGGACAACGCTTAAACATACGATTAATGCTATATATTATATAATGTAATGTTTTCTTTAAAAAAAAAAAAAATAAATAAAAAAAAAAGATTGCAACCAACAATACGCGTAACGTAGTGGCTATAATGAGTATTAAGTGATTATTTAAAATAGTTTAAAAAGGTTTTCGGTAGATTTTTGGTTTTTTTTTTTTCTATTTATTTTTTTATTTTTTTAATTGTAATAAACTGTCAATGTGATTGGTCAGCAGATTTCACCAATACATGTAAGCGATAAGTAAAAACAGAAAAGAGAAAAAACAAAAGTTAAAAATATTTCTTCTAAACCTGTCTTAAAAGTGAACAAATCATATGTAAAGTTTTCCCAGTCTCTCTTGGCTATGAAAGGTGGGAGTTACCCATAAGGTAAGGAGAGTTTTATATGGATTATCATCTCTCTCCCTCTCATTTTTCTTTCTCTCTTTCTCGATTTGGTTAAAACTGGTTTAAAAGCAGCGCTAACACAGACTTTAGCAACTTGGAATTGGAAGCGTTAACAAAATTCAACTTTTATGGCTAGAATGCAAGCGAAACATTATTAAGTGCTAAGAAAATTGTAAAATAAAACAAAAAATATTATTATTATTATTATTATTGCTGCTATTATTATTATTATTATTATTATTATTATTATTAATATTATGATATATGGAAAAATGCTAAAGTATTTTAAAAAGCTTAAATACCTTAATTTTTGTTTAATTTGAATAAAATGCCAAACATATCATCATTTCATCGGTTTGCAACGTTAAGAATTCATTAGAAATCGAGAAAACGAAAGAACCCATCCCGATCGCCAAACATCTGTTATTGATATTAGTTAGTAAAATGCTCTCAATGCGTTTTTATGATTTTGTTTAAGATTGCGCTGGTGAAGCCTGAAGAGCATTGTTTAGTGTGTTGGAGCAGTTACTGTTTTTTACTTGCATTGTCAAGTCGGGCATTTTTTTTATTTTTATTTTTTTTTTATTATTATTTTCTTTTTGGAGGTTACGTATTCTATCGAGCTAATGGTAGTTTAGTTTCTACTTGAAACGCTCTTAGCTTATAGCTGCTCGCGGATGATCAGTGATTTACGTTAACAATGCGTATACAGATCGGTTGCCGTCGGCAGTAATCGTGTTTGTTCGTTTAGTTCTGCATGTGAATGATTTGAGAAAAAAAAAAAATATATATATTCCTGTGGTCACCTCATATATATAGTGCACGCATTTCGCGTATATCGGAAAGGCTTCGTGATTTATGCGTTATTAGGGGTTAGTAATGCGTACATACATATGTGTACATGTGCACATAATGATGTTACCACAAAAAAGTCAATACAATATACCTTACGTTACAATAATACCTTACGTTAACCAGTGCAACTAATCACTTTTAAAGTATGTTATGCGCTTATGTAAATGCATCTACGATTGTATGGGTATGCGTGCATGCTTGTGCATGTGTATATGTGCTGTTAATTTTAGCATATAACGGCCGTGTGTGAAAGTTTTTCAAAAGTTCTTCGATAACCGTTATGTTCTTTGGAAAAAAAAACAAAAATTAATAAATAAATAAATAAATAACTTTTTATAAAGCGATGGAAAAAATGTTTAGCTATAAAGCATTTTCCAAAAATATTATGTAAAATTTTTGTTAGTGGTAAGGAGAAAAGATGAAATATGAAGAAAAAGGAAAAGAAAATTTTCCTTTAACGAATAAAAAAATTTAACTTAAGCTTTGAGGCAATCATATAAGATTCGCGCATAAGCTAAAGGTCAAAAACAATTGCTTGATCTGGTCAATTGCGAGCTTCGCTTTGGATTTTTCCGTACAATATTTATGACTTATGTATAACTTTTTTCCGCAAGATGCTTACTTATAAGTTATGTGTAACTGTTTTCCATGCGATATTTATGACTTATGTGTAACTTTTTTCCTTAAGATACTTATGACTTATATGTAACTAGGTAAGGTGCAGACTTATCCGGAAGATACTAACTTACCCCTAGGATTTTTTTTATCAAATAGAGATTTTTATTTACTGCCCGATAACTTAGGCTATATATTCGACTATATTGAAAACTCTACCGCACTTCAGATTTGAATATCGGCGACCATTCAGTTATTAGTCGCTACCATTTGGCTACTCGGCTACTCATGTGGAGTAAGAGAGGCATTTCTTTCTTAGCTACAGATTTGTCCATAAAATATCAATAAGCAGTCATTGACTTCTTATGCAGAAAGTGTGAAACATATATGACAAACCTATTGTTTCCCAGTTTATAGGTGAAAGGTCGACAGGAATGATTTTTTTTTTTGTTTTTGTTTGTTTATTTTAATTTTTTTTTAAATTCTTTTATGGCCGCATTCACAATGAGCTATCTCTTAAAGGAGCGGAAAGTACTTGCCCTTTCGTTGATTTGGCATTAATTTTCACTACTTATGAATAGGAGAGATCACTGGATATATACGGGTCGGTAAATAATAACTTAAAGTAAGCGTTGAAGCATCCATTCAATATTGGCGCACAGATTCAACATAGCATGGGGCAGAAACTTAAGCTCATTTTGTTGATTTCTTTTCTTTCTTTTGTTTCTTTATAACTAAAGCTTTTCTTCGTTTATTCTGATTATCTCCGCTTTGATATGGTACTGAAGGCGCTTTGTTAATTAAAGTACGTAATTATTAAGTTCTCCAGTCATCATGAGAATTCTTCTCATTTAGTTTTGGTTTTGAGGAGATATAACGTCATGGGTGGTTATGTATCTTATCCTATCTTAAGCATAAAAGCATTCACTTAAACTAGGCTTGATTATAGGCCTAATGATTAAGCAATTGAAGTCAAAGTTCACGTCTTTTTTTTTTTTTAGGTTCATTTCACAGATTTGTATTCGAGGTACAAATTTATGTATAGCATAGCTTAGTAATAAATAAACAAGTGAAGTTAATAATCATGAGTTTCTTGTAGTTGTAAATGTAGCCTTTTTACTGTTAGGTTAGTTCATCTTTTTACAATTAAAAACTTGCATTTTTTTTTTTTTTAATGACCATCACTAAGGGGATATCCCCTATCCGTGTAGTACGGTGACGGCCAGAAAGAAGAAGAAGTCAAGAAAGGAACTGAACACTACGCTAAGCTAAGAACAAAGACAAAAACTCTGCTGTGTTGAGTTGTTAGTTGAAGTTCTTACCTACCCTGCTATTCTTGCGGACTTAAGGCTGAAATGTCAATTAAAATGCGAGATTATTAACAACGTTTTCCTCAATCATTTGTAACATATTAATTTTGACAATAAATAAGAAAGTGAATGCAGCGATCATCATCAAAATATTAAACTTTCAAAGCACACTTATGACGGTTTCCTCCCAAATCTAGGATCTATTCGCTTAAGAAGGATGATATAATAAAATTTTTATTTGACAAGCACACACGAGAGACCTCCACAATGTATGTTATCTTGATCACAATTAAACTGGCCATATATGTCTGTCCGTCCGTCCATGCGTTTTTTGTTGATGAAGAGCCATATTCTGGCGTTTTGATCATCGTCATCGTAACCACAAAAAATTTATTTTTACTGTAATGACTTTTGTGAATTTATAAAAAATTTGATATTTTAGAGAACGAGTTGCAAGAGCAATTTCGATTCACAAACTTGTTGTTACGTCGGGAAAATCACAATTAAAAAAGTACATTGTACATTCTAAACTTTCTGTGATGTTGCCCAGAATACGATTAGAATTTTTTTCCAGTATTTTTCAAGAAATTCAGAAAATTCGGAAATTTTCCTCCTTTTTTTTTTGATGGGTTTGAGCACGTTTTTATCGGGTTTCTTTTTAGAAGTATCATTATTCTCTTAGCTAAGGCAATCATCACCCTCACAAACAGCAGTTGGGTGTGCGTTCCTAGAGACCTAAAGAGAAAAGAAGTTTTTTCGATCGGTTCTTTGCCGATTCAATATTTCTAAGAGTGCGATACAATTTTTAATATACCAAGAAAGCGTTCCCAAATGTTTACACACACCTGTATAATCATACACTACTTCCTGTTATTTCCTTCGCCGTGCCTTACAAGCCTATGTACACGTAATTTATCCTATTTGAAAATCAACCTCTTCCATCTAGTGAGATGATCTCTGCATCTTCCTAGAACAAGAAAAACCATAAAATTTTGTTATCAGTTACGTAACACTCTTAGCCGACCTTCTGTATTAGTCTTTTTATTCGTCTTTCCTTTCATTCGCCTAACAGTGACGCAATCTTTGATATAATTGCCTATAAAATAGCTTATGATCCGCCAACTACTTTGCTGATGCATCGAATTAGAAAAAAACTTTAAAATTTTTCTATATATTAGATGAAATTGCTAAACCCCACATAACTTATTGCATAATAGTACATACAATGGTACGCGAACATATACGTATATAGCATGCAGAAGGATTCACAATCACTTTCTGAATCGATCGATCGGTACGTGTTGTCTTCTTATGCTCAACCTACAAGCAATAATTTTTGATATAATTTGATGAAATTTGCTGCATGTGGTAGGAATGCTACGGAAAATGATTCGGATCGGATCACTCTTTCGATAACTTCCCATATAGTGCTTTAGTTTGAAAAGTCGTTATATGTATTAAACGAAACGGTAGGATATTCAGAACCTATCTTTGGCCCCTTATAACGTTTCTACTTGTTCTTATTCTCGAAATAAGTTTGCCTTAAGTTATACCCTAAGTATTTTCAATCTGACGTGTGATAATTAATTATTTTACTTGCCCCGTCCGGCATGAGAACACTGGTTTTTACTGAACGTTTTTAAATAAAATTGAGCTTGTCATGCCACGACCATCAATTCAGAACCTTTCCCTTTAAGGCTTGCAAGGTTTCCATCCTTTAATATGGAATATTAGCTGAAATCAGCTTAAATATCTAAGTCAAGTCATTTCGACTGCAGCAACATCTTATGTGTTACAAAATTATTTTGGAACGAAGCGAAACATACGCTTGTGTTCATCACCGAGGATGTGCTCAGAAGGAAACTTCGAAGGCTCTCTAAAGTATATGTACGCTTGGTTGCGATTAAAGTCTAAACCGATCTAAGCAAGTCTGGCCATTGGTGCGTATGTCAGTTTGTATGTTTACAGTACGGATTAAAAACTATACAAAAACATGTTGTAGCGTAGTGGTTAGTAGCGTAGTGTTTCGATATGTTTGTCATGCTCAGAAGGGCGGTTGCCTTTTATAAGGTATTTACATACCTTCTTGCTTAGCATTAAAGTCTAAATCGATTAGCAATGGCCGTCCGTTCGTCCGTCCGAATGTCCGCTTGTGCACACAAGCGGACAAAAAAATTAAAATAACTCCTTCAAGTTTCAGCTTCAGCTTGCTATTAAAAATCGGTCATATTCGAGGCAGCGGTCTTACTTTAATTTTTAAAGTGAAAAACCTGGATTGTTGCTCACAACGATAAAGGGGTTTACGTAGATTCTAGGGGCAATCTTACAGCACCTGCACAAGGAAGGAAAAAAACCCACAATATTAATCTTTAGCGAAATTTTTTTTTTATACCCTCACTCACTTGTCTTATAAGGATATATTAAGTTTGTAGAAATATACGTAACACCCTCAAGGATTTGAGATAAACACACTTTTTGTTACACCGACCGGCTCAAAATTACCTTCTAAATTGATCTAAGTCTATCTAAGTATCCGTTCGTCTTGCGTTCTTGCGGATATAGCCGAAATAATCAGTTTCAGATTCAGCGTGTTTGTCCGTTCAGCATTCTTGTTCAGCCTACAGGTTGCATTTTTGTGGTATTTTGATGAAGTTTAACGCACTGACATATTTTACCGCAAGGACGAACGCTATTAAAAATGCTATGGATCGGATCAATTTTTTGATCATCTCCCAAGTAATACGTTTATTGGAAAAGTTGTTAGCGAAGGGTGTTTATTAATTGGTCATGGTCCACCATATTTATTTATTTCTTTGGTCTTTTTTAAGATAAACCTTTCCTACTCATGAAAGGATTATAAGCCATACCCGAATATTGTTTTCTTATTCGATATACATATACATTGTGCGTGTATTGAAGGATAATTAAAATTTCCCCATGTGTAGGTGTATATACTTAATGTTGCTTTGCTTCATAAATATTTTCCATTCGAACTTTTTCCTTAAGATGTTGCAGTAAGCAATTTGCAACGATTTATAAATTTATGAATGTCTATAAACTTATTATTGGCATTGAACTTGCTTGTTTAAATTTGTACTTTAATAAAATTTAAAGTAATATATCATGGTAAACAAAAAAAAAAAAAAAATACTTAAATTATCAAAGATTTGTTGTGAATTGTGAAATATTTTATTAAGCAATTAATCTGCATTTTTAGTGCGAATTAAAAAAAAAAACAAAGCAAAACAAATGAACCAACAAAGTTGCTTGAACAATAAATATAGTTTATAGTATTAGCTTATGGTATGAGTAAATTCGGGAAAGAGTTAGGAGGCGATTATTATTGGCATAATTGCATAAATTTCACTACACTCTTTATAGCATTCAATATGATAACGATGATCGTACATCTCTTTACTTGGAAATCAATATAAATGTTAAGTTTTTTTATTGTGTGTGTGGAAAGAAAATAAAAAGAAAAAAGTGTGACTATGTACTCAGAAAAATCGAGACTTAATACTTCGATACACGTCACAATTGCTGCAGATAACGAAATGCATCATACGACTCATTTGGTGCCACCTGATGTTAACCACCATCGATCAGTGCCTACTCATCATATAGAATCTCATCGTTCTTTACAACAACAAATTCCTCAATTAAATATACATCAACGTCAACACCAACAAACGCAACAGCAACAGCAGCAACAACAACAGCAACAACAACAACAGCAACAGCAACATATTCAACAAGCTCAACAGCATATGCAACATCAGTCATTGCAACAAACATCCCACCAGCAACCAAATCAACAAGCACAGCAGTCGGTACAAGCACATCATTCATCACTATTCACCAGGTAGGCAAATATTTTAATAAACATAAAAATATTTTATTTAAAAAAATTCAATAAAATATTTAAAAAAAAGAAAAAATGTTTATTTACTAAACGTGTAAATGCGCATTACAAACACAATTGATTTCGAAGTCGAAAATAATCTCACTTTCATTACTGCTTTCACGCTATACTCTACGCTATCTCCTAAGCATTAAATAAATTTTTACATAAGAATTTCAAAAAGTAAGGAAACTACTTGTGTAACTACTTAGTCGTACAAGTTTGATCGTTTAATGGTTATTCTTAATCCAAAATTTAAATAAACGGTTATAAGGTCGATACATATTGACATATGCGTGAAGTATGCTACTTTACGTAATAATTTGCCATATTATCAAAGCATCCTCGATTGCCTTAAAAAAATGCCAAGAAAATTTATCTATATAAACTCTTTAGATCTGAAATGATCTAAATATCCATGTGAATTTCCCGGACTTATCTTGTTTTGCTTTTACCGTCACTATCACCTTTGGATGGTGGTATGCTCGTTAGATTGGAAGTTTTGCAACGTCAAGAAGAAATCTTCAAGGTTTTTACAGTTAAGCGTTCGGGCTTCGGAAACTGAATTCGGATTCCTGCTGCTCCGACTCGAATTCGTATTCGGATTTGCGCGGAATTTAAGGTTCGGAGTGATATTTGGGTATTCAAAATTCATACTCTGGATTTGGATTCGGCATTCAGGATCCGGTATTCAGAATCAAATTGGAATTCGTATTCGGATTTCGAATTTAAAACTCGGGATGCGGAAGTCGGGATTTGGATTAACTTTGAAGAAGACGCCTGCAGTACGGCGCAAGCGCTCATACCTTTGTTTTCAAAGGCAAAAAAAAAAAAAACAATTGGCTTTTTGCTCATCACTAGCAAACTGCAATAGATAAAATAATAGAAAAAAAATCAGTCGTGTCCATCCAATGTTATAGGGTATCGCTACGTCATTTTTTTAGGTTTGTGCTGACATACGCAGAAGAGCTTAAGATAGATGCACTTTTTATTATAGCACTTGTCTATCCGTCTGTCAATGTGTAAATTTGTGTCCAAGTTAGTGATCGCAACTTTTAAGATATTTTGATGGACTTTGGTACAGTGACGCGTTTTGACCTGAGGGCTAACGCTATTGTAAATGGTTTTATAACGCTGATGAAAATCAGATCACAATAGTAATTTAAGATAAAAAAAATTAACGATACCAAATTTGGACTATCTTTACCAATTTTTTTGATCCTACCCTATACAAGAATCTTTACAAAAATTTGTGCTTTTTAGGACAGAAGCGTCTAAGTTTTAATATGTTAAGATGAAAGCTGACCCATAATAGTAATTTTGAACACATACCTCAATTTTTTAGCACAATTGTTACGGAAAGTAAGCCTTTATTTACAAAGAGGTGTAATTTTGAATATATAATTCCACAATAGTAACTTCATATAAAAAATCAAGGTGTATTTTTTATGTTCTATAACAACAATAAGAATTGTGTTAGACACTGTGGGATACCATATTCAATAGTCGGTCCGACTATAATGTTTTCACTTATTTACATCTAAACGTCATCGGCTTCTCGGAGATGGGGCCGTAATTTTTAATTATGTATGTATAACGTTAAGCATAATCTTACATTTAAAGCTTTCAAGGAAAGGACGTAGCAAGATTCTCACTTTATGGTTTTCTGTTAAACGTAAGGATTTCTAAGAATGTTTCATTGATTTAAATCATGTCTTCTGCCAAAGATACTGCAAAGGCTGTAACTTCAGAATATAACTATAAAGTTCTATTATGAAAATTCTTCCATTGAGAAAAAATATTGAATAAATTTATCTTTCCGGCAGTTCGCTAGTTGATCAAATCACATTTATATTTCTTATGCCCAAGGGGGTATAATTTGTTGCCTGTCTTCCGTAAAAAATAGCGCAAAAGTATCTGTAAGTCATCACAGTCCACCGAATTGGCTGCATTTGAGTGGATTTTTTGAATGGATCCGGACTTGTCTGTCCGTCTTGACTGTTAGTGTTCAATCTACACGCCGTAATTTTTGAGATATTTTGATGAAATTTGGCTCACCGATATGTTTAGGTCCAATGATGAACACTATTGGCAAATATTCGGATCCAGCCATACAACACTTTCGATACAACAATTTATATTAAAAGTGCAGGATGGTTTAGGGTGTTCAGCAATGTGTTTTCCCTTATTTTTACATTAGATTCGAAAAGGTCCAAACAACCGATAAGCTTCTATAAGAACGTATTATAAAGGAGTGCTGGCCAACGTATTATTTTACAGCGATTCTTAAATTCATTGTGCAATAAAGAAAACAGTTAAGGAGCAATATGTAAACGTATAGTCTAACGGTGATTTATGATTGTGTTGAGCAAGATAGTCCACACACTTTTAGATCTCAGTAAACTGCGTATGTATATACTTTAAATAAATTGGCCGCAATATTACCTGTTTACCAGATAGAAAGCACTTGTGGTTTTGTCCTCTGGAAAGAACATTACCTTAAAGGTAGAAAACTCGATAATCGGGATAGGGAGGAGCTTGGTTGCAAACATTAAAGGAAGCAGAACATATTTTTCCTTATCCTTTCTCTGTTAATCTTGGGCAACGAATAAAGGAAAATTTTAAAGCCGAACTTAGCCAAAGAGATAACATAAACTTGAAAGACTCAACCAATTTAGAAAAGAAGACATTAACGGTGTAGGGATAAAAATTGTTTCAGATAATATGTGTATCTGTTCTTGTGTGTGGGGCGGAATAAGATTAAGAGAGAAACTGACCCGACTTTTTATCAAATTTCTCATGTTTCACACAACCGCTTACGGTATTACGTTTCTGATTGCGGGAATGGGAGAAATCACTTCTGCGATCAACGATAGCCAAAACTTTTACTAATCAGTCTATCAGACTGCATGGAGAAAAGTTTGTTTAACCGACGAGTTTATCGCAGGCCGGAGGAACAAAGACGATAGAGCTAGTATGGGATTAATTATCCTATAAGCATTAGATGCGTAATTTCAGTTCTTAAATTGTTGGAATTTTTTTGGTCGCTTAACCTATATTTAAACGAGTTACAGATGACATAATCAAAAAATTTCAGTACTTGCAAACAGTTCATGGACATACATTCGCTTTATAAAAGGGTCGATTTTAATACCTAATATCGCACATGATGTAGAGTGCAATAGATTTGGCAGCAATTGGTAGAATATTTAAATATTGAGCACTCTTTATATAAATCTTTGGCGTAATTTAACCGATTTTCGAAATTGAGTTTTTTATTTTTTTTTAACACATTTAAGATGCAAGATACAAAACCTTCTCACTTAAATTCCACAATTTTAGAGTTGTAATTAATCAAAAAGACGAAGAGGAATCGTTTTTTTTTTAAATTATGGTCAGGCTTATGGATAGATTTTGTTCATTTTCGGAGTTAATTTGAGATTAAGCATGGAATTTTGAAATCGTAGTTAGGAGATTAATAAGCGAACAAGCCGATAGACAAAAAAATATTTCAATCGAAGGCTATTCATGCTGATTAAGAAGACGTAGGCTTCACGAGATCTCGAATACTTGTTCCTTCGTATTGCAAATGGTGATAAAAAATTGGCCGCGTTTACAATCAAAAACAAATAAAAGCACTATAGTGGACCACGGTCTACCATCAAGTAAGGCACACCAGTTCGCTTAATGCAGTCATTCATATAGGGATGTTTCAAAGTCATTTGTGTTATGGGAACAGATCGTAAAAGTGATGCGACCGAAGGCATCTTCAATAGCGTGCGTGATTGGGTCAGAATACGTCGATGTGGGAAATTTCATCGCAATATCTCAAAAATTGCGACCTGTAAATGGAAAGAAAAGATAACATTAGGGACAGAGGGACAGACAACATTACATCGATCGGGATAACAAACGGTGGGTACAAATCAAACCCTCCTGGGTTTTGCTTACATCCAAACAAACCTAACATATCCTTCTACGACAGCCAGTATAGGATATAAGAAAGAAAAGCAGAAGAAGAGATAGTTAAGTCAAAAATTTTAATAACTATTTGTTAATTGTTTTCTTTTTGTTTTCGATATACGAACAATATTAGATGATTCACTAAATATGATGACATCTGGCGAAGCGTAACATGCTTTGTGTGCGTAATTGCAATTATTCTGGTAACCTCTGATGATGCCATACCATACCATATTTAAGTAAGGATTTCAATTCTTCCTCGCTAGGGTTATGTTAATAAGTTATGCATATATGAGACGCAGTTTAAAATTCTTTCAAGTCTTTGCAGTGCGGATATATTACTCGAGTCCTATGGTCATGAATATTTGGGTTAAATTAAACATTATTTTGCATAAGTTTGAAGACAATCTATATGAGAATTGCTCTGATTTGTTTTTTTTTGTTGTATTTTTTTTCTTTTTTTTTGTTTTTTTATTATTTAAATTCTAAACTTTAATGCACACACAGAGCTATAGCAGTTTGAATTACACCCTTTGGCTGTTTGAGTTAAATTTCTTGACAACATTTGCACCAAACTGCTATAAAATATCAGATAGTGCTTTGGTTCTACAACCTTGTTTTCTTTTTATTTTATTTTTTTTTTATTTTTTTTTTTGTTCACTCATTTATTTTTTCTTTCCTTTGATTTTATTTTTTGCTGTTGTTCGTATTATTTGTGTTAACTTTTCTTTGTGCTCGCACTGCTGCTTACATACTGCACTCTACAGAAACACTTATCAAGATATGGTTTTAAAATGAAAAAAACAAAAAAAAAAAAAACAAAACATTCAAAATAAACTTTTAAGTGTGCAAAGGATGCAATAAGACAAAGTTTTCTTCTATATACGGATCCTTTACAAAAACAATAAACGAGTTAACATTAACAAAAGATATGATGAGAGAAAGGGAAAGTAAACGAGACGCTTTGTAGTATACAAAGCCGTTCTTATTAATTTCAT